CCCTAAACCCTAGAACCCAGAACCCTAAACCCTAAACCCTAAGCCCTGATAGGCAAACAAGATCCCGCAGCCCAGACTCTGCGAGAGGAGGCTCAGCGCCACACCTAATGTAGGGGCCTTATATAGGGGTTTAGGGTTTAGGGTTTAGGGGTTTAGGGTTTAGGGTTTAGGATTTAGGGGTTTAGGGTATAGGGTTTAGGGTTTAATTAGGGGTTCAGGGTCTAGGGGGTTTAGGGTTTAGGGGTTCAGGGTTTAATTAGGGTTTAGGGTTTCGGGGTTCAGGGTCTAGGATGGGGTTTTGGGGGTTCCTTTCAGGGTTCTTGAAAGGGTTCTATAAGGGATCTATAATAGGGTTCTAAACGATAGGGACCTTATCAGTAGTTAGAATAGGGTTTTGGGGGCCCATTATACTATGACGATAATAAGGAGCCCCAAACCCTAAACCCTAAACCCTAAACCCATCGGTGATTATTTAGGCTTCTACATGACACCTGAGTCCCAAAGTGCCAATCCTATCTGAGAGTTTCAGACAAGAGTAGGATCCCACCTTACAACGACTCCCAAGAAAACTGAACTTGCTCCCGAACCTTAAGAAAACAGTATCCAGCTTCTCCATGGATGTCGAGTGGCCGTCCATGCCGGGAGGCGCATGCCCTGAAAAGGCGGCATGAACAGCACTGTGCCCCTAAAACCCTTAGCCACCCAAAGGGTTCCCAGAGAGACCGAGACGCGCTCGTCAAGAAATATGTCTTGGATCCTACCTGTGACATTTAAGTTCGGGGCTAAGTACTTAGAACAAGGCTTGGAAGTATATTATCCAAGAATTAGTTTTGCGGCGACAGGGGGGGCGGGGGACTACCATGCTTAACCAGACTCCTAGATTGCACGAACTACGGTTTAGAGTTTGAGGCCGGAAAGCTTGGTTAGGCCTTTCTCAAGGAGAGATTTTCTTGATTTCCTGGTTTGGGGCCTGGGGTTCGTCAACTGTTGTTTAGGGTCCCGTGCCTCATCTCTTCTGAAGCCCAAACCCTGTCATACCCAAGCCCTTAATCCCAAACCCCAAACCCTAGCAACCCTAGAAACCTCAAGCCCTCAGCCCAAAACTCAAGCCCTCAGCCCAAAACCCCAAGTGTGCATGCCTACCAACAAATGGGAATTTCCCAAAATAGGGGACCCTAATATAGTACCCTAAATAATAGGATCCTTAACATAAGGACCCCCAAATAAGGTACCCCGAAATTTCCAAAATAGGGGACCCTAATATAGTACCCCAAATAATAGGATCCTTAACATAAGGACCCCCAAATAACCTACTATAGTACCCTAAATAGTAGGATCCTTACTATAGGGACCCCCAAATAAGGTACCCCCCCCTATTTTCGGAAAGTCCCAAAGAACTCCACTCGCTTCGCCTCCGAAGGAACAGCCGCGAAGATGGCCTGTCTAGCAGAGCTACGAATGTTCAAAGGTGGCTTAGGGTTTAGGGGTTTAGGGGTTTAGGGGTTTAGGGGTTTAGGGGTTAGGGTTTAGGGTTTTGGGTTTAGGGTTTAGGGTACCTAAACCCTAAACCCTAAACCCCTTTTTCCATCTCGTTGGAAGTCTCCACAGGGTAGGTGGTTTTACGTAAGGTTTAGGCTTCAGGGTTCAGCTTTGAGGGTCAGGTTTAGGGGTCAGGGTGCCTCGCACCAGCTCATAACATTTCAATTATCAGGGGCCTCGCGCCAGCTCAAAAATTAATACCAGGGGAAGATCAGCAATTTGGGGCCTAAGGCCTAGGCTCTGCGGTTTAAGGGCTTGGGCTTTGAGGTCTTAGGTTCTTCGGAACGGATTTCAGGCTGAACGGCTGACTACCCTACTGACCCATCCTGAGGCCCCAAACCCGAGAGCCCTGAGACGCCGACAGACCGCTCGTCTCCTTAGGTTTAGGGTTTAGAGTTTAGGGTCATTATATGAGACATAGCCCTAAAACCTCTAGTTATTACCCAAGAGGGATGTAACGCAACGCCACCAACACTACTTACCACTACTTACCACTACTACTACTACTACTACTACTACTACTACTACTTCACGACGACTACTACTACGGCTACTGCCCAAGAACCCAAGAACCCAAAACCCTAAGACCCAGAGAAAGCCAGATTCAAAACAGCTCTGGCCTTGAGGAGGCTGTTGGCTGCAGATTGCAAGGCCAGGAAGGCGCGAGCCCTCAGCCGTCTTCGGAAGTTTTTTTTGTTTTTTTTGTATTCGTGCTTTCTTTCGGCTTGGTTTTTGAATTTTTTGGTTGTTGCTCTTTGTTTCAAGAATGCTGACATTTTGTGTCTTCTTTCCTTTCCTTGTGATGGGGCGTTCTTTTCTCGTTGGAGTTGTCCCAAAAAAATGTACGTGGAAGGCACCGACTCGCCAACATGAAGCAACCACCTCCTCACAAAAAGAGACACGACTACACGGTTTAGGGTTCAGGGTTTAGGGTTCAGGGTTTAGGGTTTAGGGCACCCTAAACCCTAAACCCTGAAGCCAATTTCGAAGCTACGAGCCTAAACCCTAAACCCTAAACCCTAAACCCTAAACCCTAAACCCTTAAAGACTCCTGACATTTCGGCCCTGAAGCCGCAACGCCTGGACACTCCAAAGGAGACCACGCAAGAAAGGAAGAGGCGGGTTTAGGGTTCAGGGTTTAAGGGTTTAGGGTTTAGGGTTTAGGGTTTAGGGTTGATAAAGTTTAGGGACAACCACTGCAGACTACTCACCCCTCTCGGGGCCTTAAAAAGGGGGGGTCCCTACTCCAGTCGTGGTGAACGGCAGCTGATTGATGAATCATCAGTCAGATCTCCTGTTGGGGTATGTGCTCAGTGCGGCAAGATGCCAGAATGCTAGTTTACTGGCAGCGCCTTGGCCCCAAACCCTAAACCCTGAACCCTCAACCCTGCCTAAAACCATGAAACTAAAGCCGGCACGCAGCCCTAAACTAAACCCAAGACCCCGAACCCTTACGATTAATATGAGGGGGCCTTAATCATTGTATAACGGCCCCAAAACCCAATTCTAACTATTAAGGCCCCTATCTTATAGAATCTTATAATAGAAACCTTATAGAACCCGAACCACAAAAAGAACCCCCAAACCCCTATTCTAACTACTAAGGCCCCTAAAACCTAAGCCCTTATAGTAGCTTTCATAGAACGCTTTAAAAGAACCATTAAAGGAACCCCAAAAACCCTCATTTTGCCTTAGACCCTAAACCCTAAACCCTTAGACCATCGGTCTTCTCTTGCTGAGCCGTCCGGATCTGAGGTCAGCACCCGGCCGGCGTTGAGTCTGCAGGGTAACCTGGCTTCAGTTAAGGGAAACCGGAGGTGGGGGCTTTAGGGTTGGTGAGTTTAGGGTATATAGGGTTTAGGGCTTAGGGTTAAGGAAACCAGAGTTTAGGGTATATAGGGTTTAGGGCTTAGGGTTAAGGAAACCAGGGTTTAGGGTATATAGGGTTTAGGGTTTAGGGTTCAGGAAACCAGGTGGGGGGTTTAGGGTATATAGGGTTTAGGGTTTAGGGTTAAGGAAACCAGGTGAGGGGTTTAGGGTATATAGGGTTTAGGGTTTAGGGTTAAGGAAACCAGGT